GAGGAGGGTGTGTGCGCAGGCGGCTTTTCCACAGGCTGGTACGTCCACGTGTGGCTAAATCCGGAATCTGAAATAAAGGATAGTTTGAAGAAAACATCACGGTCATTAGCACCTTTTAATAATTACGCGGAAGCCGGGTGTGTATGCATGATTAAGAGGCATGAGAAGGAAGTGGGACGTGCCGGGATCGTTTGGTAGTTTCATAGACGGTCCAGTCAAAGCACAGGCCAGAGCAGAATACGTCCAAATGCTAGGGCAGATTTGTCAAATGTGAGGAGGGGATGAAACTACTTCGGCCTCTTCTCCTTACTTTTTATGTAGTAAACTGATCCATTTGACTTTGAGGTAGAATCTCTGACGTTATGTTTGCATTTTTTTAATAAAACTTTTATAAAACTTGCTTTGCATGTAAGGTTGCTGCTACTCTAAAGTTATATCAGCAAGGAAACTTCCTATGTAGTTCTGATCATCTGTTTGTGATAAACTTTGGCGAGTCAACTCGTTCATTTGGAGGGCATTCTTATAAAAGGACCAAACGTGAACAGTTTCAAGTTTTGTTGGAGTCTTTGATAAAAACAAAAATAATTTGTTCAGCAAGAACATATTTGATTTTAAGTATAGTTAAGTAAACAGCTTTCTACTCTAATGGTTTCATTTTTAGGAGTATGAAAGTGAGAGATTTGAATTATAAACTTTTCACGCAGTTGGGTTGACTGGCTTTCAAAATTAGCCTTAGTATATGGGTATTATCAGATAAGACTTATGGTGTACTGATGATACCTGTATGTATGTAGTGAAAGTTTCTATTTCATCTTTTTAGTAGGAAGGTAATTTCACCTGTTATCAGTTTTCTCACTTCAGAGAGCTTTTAATTTATGCAGCCATTGTTTAGTATGAGAGGATTTAAAAGCTTGTTTTAACATACTTTTGTCTACTTTCAATTGATTGAAAGCTTACGGTGCTCTCAAGAAAGGGGTTAGCACAGAACAGTTCCGTACTGTGGTGTGGTAACGTCAAGGCAGAAGTTGAAGGTGATTCAGGTGCTTCTCTCCCTTTAGTAAAGAAAGAAGTCTATAAGGGTTGGCCTTATTTTTGTGGTTGGTTAAGCTATGTGTTTAATCCTACCTTTTGTGCCTCAGTTTTGCAATTTGCCAAAATCTTAGAACAGTTGTAGCTTTTTCACCTTGTAAGCGCTCGCATTCAGAGGTTGGGAATATGCCTGCTACAGATTTGGAGCAATAGCGTTTGTATAAGCATTTTCAGACTGGGAATAGAAGATCCTATATTTTATTTTACACTTACTCCAGTTTTTCAGCTAAAAGTGTTTCTCATCCCTGTCAAACTTGCATCTGGCACCTATTTAGAAGCACTTGTTTAAAGTAGCAACAAAATAACTTAAATGACACTTTGTAATTAAATTTTTGCAATTTTTTAGAATTTGATATTATTGGAAAATACCTTAAAAGCATTTGCTTTTTTTTTTTTTGAGATCATAATATCCATTTTATGAAAGCTTGAAATCAGAGCTGAGGATAAATGGTTATTCCTACAGTAACATTAGTTTTCCTTTAATTCCAAGCCACCTGCGTTTTCTTGGCTTATCCTAATTCTTAGCTACATCTCAGACTGTGTTTATTAAACAGCTAGTAAGAACTAGCTAGGGTTTTGAAAAGGTCTTTGAAGGTGTGTTTGACATTACCAGCTGTCTGTGAGGTAGGGATCTCAAAGCCCTACCAAAATCTAATTAAACCTGATGACACACTTGTGAGGTATGCACGCACTCTATAGTTGTGACTTTTCTAGATTTGAGTCATTGTCCAGAGTAAAATCAAATCAATCTTGTTTAATCACTAAACTAGAAATACCTACGAGTAATCTAAAGCTGCAATTTTTTCTTCAGAATTTTAGAGTACTTCTGTTACCAACGATTTATTATTTCACAGCTATTCCTATGCATGTTTAGTAGAAATCTAGCATTAAGTGTTTATTCATTTTGATGTTGCTAAAGTTGACTGTCTAGCTTGTTCACGACTGAAATGGGAACTGGTGACTCATTCAATAAAAGCTTGAGCAGAATCAGCAAAAGTATAGCATGGGTAGGTGTGTCCATTTGGTAACAAGTTAACCACTGAATGGAATTGTCTCCTGCAAGCTAATACACAGCCTTTTATGAGGAAAAGTTGAACTATAATGAAACTAAGCCGATTTTACTAGTTATGAATAGTGAATAGGTACCAAGTTTCAGATGAAAAATATTCTAGTAACGTTTTAAAATACGTTATGGAGTGACAATGTGGTGTTGGTTAAGCAGAAATCTTTTGTTTCTTCTACTCCACAGAACAGATGAGGAAAGCAGTTGAGACTTCCCGTGCTCTCCTTGTCTTTATGGAGAAATTGCATCAGCCTAAGATACATGCTTACTGCTAATTCAGAGTGGCAATGTTTGTGAAGGCTAGTATGGTCCCACTTTGAATCAGACATTTGAGAAACGTGTCCCAGAACACACATTTTTCAGGAGTGTTGGGATTATTCTCGAAGCAATTAGCATGAATTAGAAAAGCCTCTTTTGTAGTAGCAGCAAGCCCTGTACTACTTCTGGAAATAATGAACTGTTTATTACTGGCACTTTTGCTGGTGTCGGCAGTAATAATTCTAATGACTTCCAGGGTAATACCAAAATTTTAGATGTTCCTACAGTAGCAAGTCAGATATCCACAGTTCATTTTGTTTGGCCATCAGCTTTTTGATAATTTAAGGTCTTCCCATACTTTCCATTTCTTATCATCAGTAACCCAGGCTCCAGCTTTGTATCAGTTGTTTGCTCCCTTCTGTCATGTAAATAGGGTAATAGTATCAATAGAATACCTTTTTCACTCGTAGGTTTCTTTTTTTTTTTTTAAAGTAGGAAAATGACTGATAGATGTGTATGTGATTAACTTCTACAAATATCTTTCAAAGTATAGTATCTTCACATTCACTTGTAATCTGAAAACATGGCAAGAAAGGAGATAGTGTGATGTACCAGCTGGACGGATTCTGATAAAAAGTTTTCTTTGGCCATGATATCCGACAACATAGCTGAAAACAAAAGCAGAACTTAAAGAACAAAAACATACAATAAGCTTTTAGAGTGGGATTTGACAATTGTGGCTGGTTTTCAGCCTTCCTCCTAAGAAGGGCAATTAACTGACATGAGTACTGGTTTTAAACTAATACTAAACTGAATTTTGTTTTGCCCTTAATATGTTGCTGCTGCACCATTTAAATGATTGTAAATATTCTTTGTTGCGACCAGACAGAAAATACAGTCATTTGCCTTCAGTATCAACTCTGCTCTATCCGTTAAAAAAAATCTTGTTACCTTTCTAGATGTTTGCAGCAGGAAAATGCATTGTTGAAATATATTCCAGTGTTTAAGGCTCATGGATTACAAAAAGCTATTCCATGGGAAAGATATGGCTGTTGGATGAGAACAATGTTCTGCTGTGAATTACATTTTAGAATGTTTAGTTCTTAATTTTTTTAACCGAATTCAGTCTTGTTAACATCACATTACATGCTGTATGCAGATTGCAATGAAATGGTTCAGTACCAATGGGTGAGACTTCATGTCTTTTGGGGATGTTTTTCAATATTCTTCCAGTTATACGAAATATAAAAAATGAAAAGGAGCTATTATAGGAGCTCATAAGATATCTATCATAATTTCGAACCATTGCTATTTTTTGCTTAAATGGCTTGTTGACTTAAAACATCACAGGCATATCTTGTTGCTTGAAGGGACATATCATGAAAACTAAAGATGCCTTGGCACTTGCATATCTAAATATACTGAGGTCTTAAATTCAGGCTTTGAAAAGTTGATCATGGAGTTCTGCTGGAAAAACTACTCCATTGGAGTAACAAAACCTGAATTATATTACTTCATTTTACTGTTTTAGTGCTTGCTCTTTCTTGATCTTATATGTATTTCATGGTGTGCTTTTAATATATGTTTCAGTTTTTCAAAGTTAAGCAACTACTGGTTTTACTTTTTTACTTTCTTTGAACTTTTACTCACCTGGAAGTCCGTTATATATATATATATATTTTTTTCCTTCCACTGAAGAATTGTAAGGACAGCTGCGTGAACCAGGCTTGTGCTGCACCTAGCAAAGCAATTTGGTCAATTTATGGGTATCTGTGGTTTAGGAGATGGTGTGTTCATGCTTGCAAAAGGCGTAGTATAGGCATAGGCATATATCTGTAAAAGCCTTTTTATTGATGTAATATGCATCTGCAGTGTGGTGGGGGGAGGGGAGGAAGGGGTCAACTGCTTTCTACAAATGTTAAAACCTTTCCTGGTGTGGAATAGGTCATAGTTGCCATCAGTTGATACATTGCTTCTCCTTTCGTCATAACAGCTTTTCACCGTGAGTAGACTTCCCTCTTTAAGGTTACTGGGATGCCTACTGCTTATCCAGCTGATTTGTACACCTTCCTTTTTGTTAAAGTGTGGATTTTGTTGAAGAATTTTTGTTTATTTTTACTTTTGTATACAGAAGAGCTTTTATATTGGAAGTTTGGTTTTGTATTTTGTTGGTGATACTGGACTTAAAATAGCTAAAAATTTTATGAAGAATTGTTGTGCTTCAGATACTATTTGTGCGCTCATTGAAATAACTTTAGCGTTTTCATTAATTTCATGAATTTTTTCCAGCTGAACGAGCTTTGGATACCATGAATTTTGATGTCATTAAAGGCAAACCAGTGCGCATCATGTGGTCTCAACGCGATCCATCTCTACGCAAAAGTGGCGTAGGAAACATCTTCATCAAAAACTTGGACAAATCAATTGATAACAAAGCTTTGTATGACACATTTTCTGCTTTTGGAAATATTCTGTCTTGTAAGGTTAGTGGAAAATTATTAGTGCATTTAATGTTTTAATATGAAAAATCTAATTAGACTGGAGCCATTTCATAGCTGTTACAACACAGTTTTTCTTTAATAGGTGGTATGTGATGAAAATGGATCCAAGGGTTATGGATTTGTACATTTTGAGACACAAGAAGCTGCAGAAAGAGCTATTGAAAAAATGAATGGTATGCTGCTTAATGACCGCAAAGTGTAAGTACATAAATACATAGTTGGGGATCAAGAGACTGAAATTCATTTTACAAACAAACACATACTTAAAGCTTATCCAGAAAAGACAAATTGTTCTGAACATTTCTAATTTTAAAGAGGATTTAGAATTTTAGTACTAGGAATACCATAAAGCTGTATTTTTATCTATTCTAAAGTCAGAAGAAATTCAAACAATGCTAATGGCCTGTGAGGAGTGGGGGGGGAATGGTGTATTAGTGATGTCCTGCAAGTCAATGTTGCAGTGAAAGTTTGGGGACTTCAGCTCAGGAGAAATGGGATCTTGGGGTCTTCCCTGGTTTTCTGATCTTACTGATCTGAGATAAAATACAATACATCAGGTGTTCTGAGCAATATTTCCTTCCTAAGAGTTACCTCGATAGGTACGGTAGTGACCCATTTTTGGGGTGAAACTTAAAGCTGTAAAGTTACTGAATCTTGAATAGGGGTCGGATTACACTAAATGTTCTTGAATCAGTATCTTAAGCACGTATTTAGGGAGTGGGACTGTAAAAAAAACATAAATTGTGAGAAGTTTTATTTTAATGGTGTAACTCTTAATGGTGTAGCTCCAGAAAGGAAAAGGCTTCTCAACTGTGCCTGAGGGATCATTATGGTATCCTATGCAGTTGCGAAAGAACAATTCTATTAATCCTTGCAAGGGCTTGGAAAAGGGAAAACAGAAATCAGTATCAGCACTACCATCACGCATTAATTTTATCTGCTCAGATGGATGGATCAAGCCATATCCAAGGAGAACATATCTTTTGAAACTTAAGTTTTCCTGCTTGATCTATGCTTGACTGGCATGACTGTGAATGTTCTCACTTGACTGTATCTTTGTACAGTCTTTTTAAAGTTGTAAAAAGGTCAGCATGTAATCATAATGTGGAAGCACAACGTTTATGTAAATTTCTGGAAAAACACTTAAGAGTTAACTTTGCTTGAGGTCCTATTCAAACCAGACATTTTGAAGTGTATTAAAGTACTTTGCTCACTATCAAAATCTGCTGCACGTATTACACTGTCATTCTTACTGTCCTTGGCTACTATAAATTGGGTTGCATCACTAAAATTTAAGAAAATGTTGAGTTTACTGCATACTTCTTTGTTAGATCTGCTAGAATTGGAACTATAAAGTTAGACAGCCCAATAAAATTAGTGGGGAAAAGTCTACTGCAGTCAGAAATCATAGTGTTAGCCATGCAGCTTCTGTTCTGGAACGGGTCCTTGGATTGCAGTGTGTTGTGTTCAGCTGCTATTCCTTCTCTGACAGTATGAACTGACCTTCAGTGTTTCTAGCCAATTTGCGATGGTATTTGACTAAAGAGCAAGTTAAACTGTGTTGGGATGAGGGAGGGCAGAGGGAGATAAGTTAAATATCCCATGCTTACCATTGGAGAATGGTAACAGTTTTAAGGCTGCCAAGTTTTTGGTACGGCAGAGGGGCTATGCTGGGTATCTGGAATTTTCAATTTAGCTGCTCTACTTAGGACTCTTATCCATTGTATAGCTCCTGATGTCAAAGAGGCTGTGTTACGCTTTCAAGAACGAACCATCTTGCCAACGGCTTGAAAGCATATTTATGCTAGTAATTGCAATAAGCACACTGATATAAAAAAGGATAGTGAAATTGTTTTTCTGATGGAGCTTTATCTTTGCTATTTTATCTGAAGAATTTCATGCCTATGATGATCAATGAGATCAAGAATGATGTCAAAGGATTAAAATAAAACTTTAAATCTTGACAGACTTGCTTTAATCTACACTGTTCTCCTGTAACTAGATTTGTTGGAAGGTTTAAATCCCGCAAGGAACGTGAGGCAGAGCTTGGAGCCAGAGCAAAAGAATTCACCAATGTTTACATCAAGAATTTTGGAGAAGACATGGATGATGAAAGACTTAAGGAACTCTTTGGCAAGTTTGGTAATGTCTTAAAGTTTAAGCTTATATAAACATCAGTAAAGTTCAGATTACTTCTCGTGTCTGTACAGTGCTTCATGTTATGAGGGATCCGGCAACTGTGTGAAGGTGATACAGAGAACGTTTACTTAAATGTTAGTACGTGGTTCCAATTTCACATTCAAAGATTTCAAAGTGTGGTAGTATTCACTGATGAATTTTAAATAGCCAGAATAGTACCTATGATCCACCCATCAGAATTGCTGCTGATAATCTGATAATAAGGCATCTGTTTAAATAATCTTTTTAATAGATTTTGCACATGTTTGAAGTTGCAGATTTTTTTTTAAGAAATGTTTTTTGTTTTTAATACAGATTGATTTAATATAGGTATTATTAATCCATTGCAAGAGATTTGACAAATAAGTTTCCTGTTGCTTTTTCACTGTTTTATAGCCTTATCTTTATTTGGAGCATCTCAGTTTTTTATCATTCAGTTGAATTTTCATTGTTGACTCCTTATGAAATTATAAGGAACTTTGTCATTGGCAAGCTACTAATTCTGTCCTGATCCTCAGTTATGCATGGGGGCAGAATTATGGTAGGTGTGTGTTCATGATGCAATAACGCATATAATATGTTACTGTTGAAATAAGAAATATCAAACTTCCTTAGTCCAGATACAGATTCTCATAAGGGCTTACAGGTCAGATCTGTTGCCTCATGGCTTTTATTTCTTGTATTTTTTCCCTCCACGCTTTTGCTGTTTTCTGCTGGGTATCATTTAGAGCAAAGATAGCCTTGTATATGATGTATTCTATAGCAGGTCTAATGCCTATGCCCTAAGTAGCATTCACAAGAAATTCCTTGTTCAGAAGCGCTGGTGAAGTATCAGTGGATTGAACTGTGGTGAATTTTAACTGCTAGTATTTGTCTCAGTTGAGTTTGTGAATTGCAGTTTTTCAAAAGTTCAGAACTGCTAAGCTGGGGTGGACTTTCACGGGGATAGATGGTGGTAAAGCACAGTCATGACCTAGAGGTCTCCTGTCCGGTTTCAGTTATCCTGTTTCAAAGGATAGACGCGCTAATACTTTTTAAAAGTCAGTTTTTTTTTTTTTTAATGGGAAAAAAAAGTACATTAGAGTGAAATTCCTGCACCATTTTCATTGAAAATACAAAAGGAAAGAAATTTAGCATGGCACATTTCAGCCCAAATAGTTGATGTTCAGCACCACAGTGGGAAAATCAGCAATTTTGTATTAATGGGTGGTGTTTACTAGGTTCTATTACTGGTACTGGAGTATAAAGGCAATACACTCTGCATAAGCAGCATAAGCATTTACATTCTCTTTTCAGGTCCTGCCTTAAGTGTGAAAGTTATGACCGATGAGAGTGGAAAATCCAAAGGCTTTGGCTTCGTTAGTTTTGAAAGACATGAAGATGCCCAGAAAGTAAGCTTTCGGACTTCGTTTTAGGATGTTTGTAACTGTGACCTGAATAATAAGTTTCTTTTGAGTCCTTTGGAATCTTGAGAATTCATTAAGAATTTTTAATTGATCAAGGATATTGGGAAAACAAATCTGCTTAAATGACTTAGCATACTTTGTCATTTAAAAAGTTTTCTTATAAATGAGCAAATGTCATTTGGTTCAAGAAGCCTATTAAGTTAGGGTACTCTGAGACAGCTTGAATTAGTGTAGAAATGAGGAATCGTGAATAATTTAAGAACCTGTTGTGGTTGTGCCTGAAGGTCTCACAGAGATCTGGACTTCCTCATGCTGAGCGATATACAAGCATGGTAAATTATTACATCTCTACAAAACCCAGGTGAATAATTGAACGCAATTTGGTTGCACAAAGCATTTGTGCAAGTGCAAGGCAGGAAGAACTGTGTTTCCTGATTTCAACACTGCAAAGTCAGCAGGACAGCTATTAGTTTTAAGGAGTACATTTGGCAGAGCGGTAAGAAAATAATCAGAGCCCTGTGATGCTGCTTTTACTCTGAAGAGTAACTTTAGAGAAAGGGTCCTTTTAATTTGTATGTATGTCTGTAACATGCCAGTAAGCTAAACAAATTAATTCTTTGACGGTCAGTTTCTTTTATGTTTCAGTTTACTGTGAAAACAGGAATGTAGTGTCAGGGAAAAAACTCAGTGCAGAAGAACAAATCAGCACAACAAATTTTGTTTTCTTTTCAAAAGGCATTTCCCTTATTTTTCAGTAGTGCAAGTATACAGGCAACAGATTGGAACAAATACTGTCTTATATCTAAAATATTCAGTCTTGCATCTATTCCTTGATGAATTGCTTCTCTTAAACACTGTGTTCCTGACTGCTCTTAAACAATATGAGAGGTTTCAATATTTCATAAAATGTCTATTTTCTAATGACTTACTGTGAAGGCATAGAATAAACTGGTGATCTCTGTTTTAAAACTAATAAATCTGTGCTAAAGTTTTCACATCTGAGCAGTTGTAATTCAAAACAGTGTAAAAGCAAAAGATCTTTTTTTTTTTTAACTCTAAGTGCTTTCTTAATGAAAGATGTTTTAAAAAAAAGTCCACGTATGCAAGCTGTAACTTAACGCACAGTAAAGAAAATCTGTTAGATACTCCAACTTCAGATCTATCTTTTAAAAACAAAAGTCAGGTGTGTGAATTAGAGCTTTTCAACTTAATTTGCTTGCTTTTCTCTGCCTTTAGCAAGATAAGTAGGGCTGCACAGATGGTTCCTGATTGTGTGACTAGTTTCCCTGCTGCCCCCCAAACTTCCTACGAGAGAAGTTTTTTGTACCCCTTGTGACTTCTGTTTAGCCTGGACAGAAGCACGTTCAGAAGGCGTTGCCGTTTTATGTTAAGCAGGAAAGTTGTGGGGTCTTTGTTTCAGCAATTAGTATTTTAGATGGTGTGGTAGGCAGGTGTTCTTTTTAGAATCCTATGTAACTTTTTATATTTGAAGTGAATTTTTTTTGTTTCTGAAAAAACACTGAGAAACAAAACGCTGTTAACCTTTTGTTTCTTAATGAAGGCTGTAGATGAGATGAATGGAAAAGAGCTCAATGGGAAACAAATCTATGTTGGCCGGGCTCAGAAAAAGGTGGAAAGACAGACGGAGCTCAAGCGCAAGTTTGAACAAATGAAACAGGACAGGATCACCAGATACCAGGTTCGGTTTTAATTTGAGAGGGCAACTTTTTTTTTATGACGTTTTTAGATTCATGTGGGACATTTGCTTTCAAAATAACTAGACTCCTTTTTTAGGGTGTAAACCTTTACGTGAAAAATCTCGATGATGGGATTGATGATGAACGTCTTCGAAAAGAATTCTCTCCATTTGGCACAATCACTAGTGCAAAGGTAAAGTAAAAATTATGGATTGCACTTGTCCTTTCTCTGAAGATGAGCAGTGAACCTTCCCCAAGGAAGAGTGATGTATTTCTTTGACTAACAATGGTAAAATGCAGAGATGTGACCCAGTCACTTACCACTGCTACTGTTGTTATATATGCATGGCCATTTACTTTCTTGATTTTTGTATGTTTTTGAAGTTCAACACATCACATAATCACCCTGTCTTAATGAATGGAGAGTACTGACATCAATATAAGAAAATCGCATCTTTTCAATGCAATGATGTGCTCACTGTTCCTTCACTGAGATTTTCATCTGTATTCACTAAACAATTAACTTTAAATTTTTATAAATTGATTCGGTAAAACAAACTTGTGATCTTGCTTGTAGTAAGCTGAAGAAAGAAGCTCATGCAAGTTAAACAGGGATAGATATAATGTTCTATTGTTTTAAAACTGAATTTTGTACTGACAGGTCATGATGGAAGGTGGCCGCAGCAAAGGATTTGGGTTTGTATGCTTTTCTTCACCAGAAGAAGCCACCAAAGCTGTCACAGAGATGAATGGTAGAATTGTGGCTACTAAACCATTATATGTAGCACTAGCCCAGCGTAAAGAGGAGCGCCAGGCTCATCTTACCAACCAGTATATGCAGAGAATGGCAAGTGTAAGAGCAGTTCCTAATCCTGTAATCAACCCCTACCAACCAGCACCTCCTTCAGGTTACTTCATGGCAGCTATCCCACAGGTATGTACAGAAGTAAATAACTGAATGCTTTGTACTGTGTATAAAATTTGTTTAGATTTAACAATAAATATAAATATTAACAAATATCCATAATGTCAGCATTCTGATTTCATAGCAGAAAGGTGATTGACTGTTTGACATGCCCTTTGCTGGTAACAGTTACATACCATTTTTACATTTGACAGACTCAAAACCGTGCTGCATACTATCCCACTAGTCAACTTGCTCAGCTCAGACCAAGTCCTCGCTGGACTGCTCAGGGTGCCAGACCTCATCGTAAGTCACTTTCCTTACCTTTTTCTAGTGCTCACTGTAAACTATAGCATTCGCCTTCAAACTTCTTAATGCATTTTCACTGAATTACAGCATCAGTATCCTGTGTCACGTTATACAGTATTCTGAACTCTTTTCAACATTCAGTGTCTCATGATGTAACTTCATACACTTTTTTTTTTGTAAAAAGCGTTCCAAAACATGCCTGGTGCTATCCGCCCAGCAGCACCCAGACCACCATTTAGTACCATGAGACCAGCTTCTTCACAAGTTCCACGAGTCATGTCAACACAACGTGTTGGTGAGTTTCAGA